TTATAACGACCTTCTTCCACTAGCAGGTCTGTTTTTGTTTGCACAGACAGTCCCACTAGTTTCCGATACATTTATAGGGGATAGTAGGAGATTAAAAGAATGGAGAAGAGTTATAGAGGTTTTTTTGTAGTTGTTTTGCTGAAAAGAGAGAAACAGAACTAAACGAAATTACACCTGTTGAAAAAAGATAAGTCTATTATTTTGGTTAGTGATCGTTTGGATTTGGGTGTGTTTAGGTTAGTATAAATAAATAATACTATATAGTCATATAAATCACCACAGCTCATTATCTTCAGCGTTATCGGCGTTTCTGGATCTTTAGTTGCCTCTGTGATATACTTACTTGCGGCATACTATTTTGGGAGTGTATATGAGCGTGTACCATGTACGGTAGCTCATCTCTCATCGTGATGGTGGGACATAGTAGACAAATTAGAGAGAAAACAAGGAGGTATTAGTATTAGTTATATGTAAACAAACAAAACAAAAGAAGAGAAGAGGAAAGAAGAGCAGAAAAATAAAAAGGGGATAAAGTAGATAACAAAGAAAAGAAACGTAGGCAGATTATTAGAAAAGGCATTATCCGAGACTCAGCAATCAAATGTCACTCCCGCCGAAATCTCAGCGAAACCCTCCCCGCCGAGACCCGCACAGCCGTGTTCGGTAGAAAAAACTAAGTGTGTAGATAGATTAGTAGGAAAATAAATAAAACTACTTTATGACTCAAAGTGCAATGAATGAGCGTTAGTTTCGGGATCATTTCAGTGTTAGAGTTATGTTAGTTTTGATCCGTAATCAGCCCTGCCGACCCCTCAACATTAGTTGCAGGCAGTGGTTGTTAGATAATGCGGCACTGTAACTACTACTATTTTAGAGGTATGATTCGTCAAGTTTATACAACTCAATGTTTCAATTGAGGCAAACTATCTATCTTACAATTACAAAAGCAAACCTAAACTTACAATTATATGCAAATGCAAAATGAAACTTGACAAATCATCGTCAATCCCCTTATTACAGGGCAGGGCCTGACGATTTGAATCTAATTTTGATCAGTGAACGGGCACCATATGGTACATTTTCTCACCATGAACCTATCATTTCCAGCCTATCTGAACTATTTAATAAATGGAAGCCATCACATGGGTTACGCTCCCCCTAAGCAGGCCCTCCGCATCCTGTCTCTGTCTTATCTCAAATACAAAATGCCAATGGTATGAATGTATCTATATATAACTTGGAAATGACGTACAATCAAATAAACCCGTAACCCGAGCAAAGCTAAAGATCAAATTGAAATCAAAATTTGCTGTTATGATGTAACTTATTTTGAATACTCCAGTTGATCTCATTTTGGTTGACTTAACGGTTAACACAGCAAAAATGAGAGCAAAATTTTACACTGTTGAAGCAAACGGAAAACTAATCCTGCTTTCAATGAAATCAATATGATTACTGATTTTGCATTCATAATGTTTAACTGAATACGGGCCTGGAGTAAATGGTTACCATTCATGTTTCTCAAGCTGGGCTCCAATCTCACCCCGGGAAAGTCACGAATGACCTAAAATGTGTCAAACAAATCAAATAAACAATCATCATTAGTTCAACAACAGATGAATTTCAATTAAATTTTAAACAAGACGTAAACAGCAGAACTTCAAGTTAAGTTGCTTTCATTTAAAAAGTCTTGACTGCATAATGAAAGCACAATATGATATCAGACTTATGTCGTAACATTTGAAATCAAAATGAGTTTTCATTATGATAGGAACTGCACACTTTAATATCGATTTGCTTTCATTTTGTTAACCGACTTTGCTCGGGAACCCACTCACTTGGTCAGGCTTCAGAATCGTCCAGTTGGCAGTGCGCTCTACACGCCAAGTTACATTTTTTTTTTTCAAATTTACCGCAAATTTGATATTTACCCATTGAGTGTTGATTAGTCACAATGAAACATTGTGAGAGAAGTTGAGGTTACTAGTGTATTAAATAATCTAGGTCCTATTTAAAATTATATCTGAAAAATCCAAATCTGGCCAACGCCCACCCTAATCCTAAACCTGTTGTAATCCACCTGAAATGACTAACGAATTGAAGACTTTGACTACCCAGCCATGCAATAGTCTCATTCCGTGCCTTATGGCAACTTGATGATTCTATTGCGCTCATCTTCTGGCACCACCCAGGGGAGACTTGGTCCTGTACCCAATGCTTAACTTATCTCCATTCCACTCAGCTACTCGCAATTTCTTGTGATATAGTGGGCGGAATATTATTATATGAGACAATTCAATGCAGACGTCTTTCCAAATTTGGCAGATCGTCAGGTAATCGGTGAGTTACCACGATAGTTGCTATTCAACAACTCGACAACGTTCCATCGTCAACGCATGCTATGAGAATTTCCCATTGCAGACGCCAACGAAATGACGTCATCGAGCTATCGATCAACTACCCTGGTTATCGCCTGGTACCTTATAGCACGATGCTAGGAGGCGAACCGGAAGAATCGATGAGCTACCTCCCCCTATGAGTACCCAAGTAACCATATAGTCGTAATATAGCTGGTATATTCTTACTTTGCTTGAGTATGGTTTGTTGGGGAATCTGATGAAACTGTCACTTCTTGAAACTGATCCCTTTTGTATTTCTTTTATTCTCTTTTCGCACACGGAGCGCTCGATGGACCAGCGACTTTGGACGTGAGCCTCGTCCCAGATCACAACGGCAATTCAATGACATATGGTGGACATGAAACCGACCAAAAAAGGCGGAATCATATTAGAACCAACCAAGGACGATCTACGGAAGGAAATTGCCGGTGAAGCACGAAATGAAATACGAAGCGTTAGAGAAAAAGTCCAAGGGATTCCAATTAACGATGGCGGAAGAGCAAAATATGGTGAGAGCTTTACAATTATTAAAAATAAAATTAAATATCAAAATGAAACTAAATACATTTTTATAATGCGTTTATTTTTCTAGGCTTATTTGCTGTAGCTTTGTGGAGCCGTAAACTAAATACATGCCAGTTATGAAAAAAAAATATGATGCATACATGCGGGGCTTATTGTGAGTGAAAGTAACCTCGGAATGAGCGTGACTATCCAGACATTCTGAAATGGGTTGCTGGATCTGCAATAGAGCTATTGAGGTTAGATTATATTTATTAATATTGCAGTCATCCTCATTGCGAACTGCTCGTTTGTCATGATTTACCACAAAATAATACTAATATTCAATATTCAGAAGTTTAATATCCTTTCAAACACAAATCTAATGGTAAAAATTTAAATTACCGAAAGGTAGCAGAACTTTAAAAACACATTATAGCTCTTACAATATTTGAATAAATGTTTACGCCAGAGTTTCAGAATCAATTAAAGAAACAGATTGATGCTTTACCAACAGAAAAGACTTACTTTTTGCAGATGTTATGGCCTTTAGGAAAATATGCAAGAAACCGGACTTTGGAAAAACATGTGAAATCTGGACCGTAATTAAAAAATTTCCGAGCTGTTGTTTTGTCGGTTCGAAATCAAAATTACCATGCATTGTTTCAGAACTTCTATGGTATTAATCCCAGAATTTCCTTTGAATTTTACTTGAAATTATCATGAGATTCTCCTTAAATTGTTCAGAAAATTCTCTTGGAACTCTTCTTGTTATTACACTGGAATTAATTTGAGACTCTCTTTCTTTAAATCCTACTTAGTATGTCTTTGGAACTATCCTGAGGTTTACATTCTTTTAAAATTTTCTTTGAAGTTTACGCAAAACTTTTTCTCAGATAGCCTTCGTAATTCTTCTCAGAATACCATGGAATTCTCTTCTGATTTGTTTAACAATTTATTTTAAGTTCTCCTCATTTTTTTTACTAACTTCAGAATATTATTCCGTTGGTTTTTTTCACGGAGCTTCCTTGAAATTCTCTTCAGAATCCTCCTCAGTTTTTTTTAATTATTCTCAGAACACCCGTTAAACTCTAATTAAAATTCTCTTGAAATTATCTTTAGAATTCCCTTGTTATTTTCCTCTCAATCCCGACACGTTGGCCCTTATTACCGATGTCACTACATGGTAAAGTGACAACTTATCACGCACGGTGAAGTGATTCCCATTTGATTTACACGGCAATCACTTCACCGTGAGTGACAAGTGACACTTCGTTGTCACCGTGAAGTGATACCCATAATAAGGCTCATTTATTCTCGGAATTACCTAGGAATTCTCCTGGAACTTCTCCGCACATTTTCCTTGGACTTCCTTGCTTAGGGCTGAATCTCAGAATTATCTTGGGAATCTAGTCAGAACTTTTTTATTCGTCACAAATATTAAATTCAAATCTCGAGTCATAGTCTAAGACTCCAAAAAAAAAATGCCAAATGCCAGCTGAGCAGCTTTCTCTAAGACAACAAACCACTAAAACAGTACGATGAGGGGTTATAAATTGCCCCGTTATAATGGGGGAAAGCAGTATAGACTCAGCAACCGTGCGTCTCCTTAAAAATGAAATAATAAACATCGCACTTTTACAACCCTATTGCAAGGAAAATATGAAAGAAGGAAAATCACATCTGCCAGGGCGGCGGGCAAACGATCCAAACAAAAGCAACAAAGCAAGCTCTTTACAACAACCCGAAGCCACCCATTCCGGCATCCTCCTCAGCTCCGTTGTTTTGCATGATGATGGAGGTTGGGGCCGACGACTACTGCGGCGACGACACTGCATCACTCGCTCGCTCAGTTACCATTCGGGATCGGTCGCGTTCGGAAGCATTTTCTCCACATTCCTGGAGGACCGTTACGTTTCCCAGTCCCCCTTTCGATTTGAATTCTTCTGTGCTGCATCCGTCGATGTGTAGGTTGTTTTTCAAATGTTCGATTGCATTTGCGATTCGTATATTCAAAATATTCATCATCTAGAAGGATTAACGTTTTAAGGATATAATATTCTACCGGACGATGGTGGGTAAGATTTTAGATGGGCACCGTTGTTATCACCGTCGGTTTCTGGAAGTCCTTCAAGAACCAATTTTCGTTCCCGTGCTGTTGCGAAGTTGACGGTTTATTGTAGGGGAACTAGATGTAATACGCGCCAGAGGGGTAATATAGCCATCGACCTTTTTTCAAGTACTTTTAAAGTAGCATTTATATGAACATTTAACTAAATGATAGATCAGCAGCCCACCTAGCAGTTCTGGATGAAAAACCATTAAATTTTGTTTGAAAAGTCCATGAACAATGCGCATGGTTATATTACTCCGCTGGCGCGTTTTACTCCATTTTCCCCTACCTGTGTAGTGAGTTTTTATTTTTGAAAGAAACCACTCAAAAGCTGCCACCCGTCCGCTTGCTACGTTGTTCACGAAGAAGGAGAAAGGATGAGGAGGTCGGAAAACAGTAGACCAGTCAAGAGTGGGTGGTGCTGGGCGCCGAAGAAAACAATAAAAGAAAGCAAATTACGAAAAAAGTGCGTTACCAAGGATTCCGACCAGAGTAGAAGACGAGCGTTGGAAGACGGCAATGACGGTTCCTTTTTATGCGAATTGGATGACAATAGCAAAACCGTGATTTTTAATTAGCGCCAGTGAGTGATACATGATGATTGCTTAGCACACGCCGGACGCTAGTATTGGTGACCGTGTATAAAATAAAGCGCGAAGTGCACTTGTGCACTATACACAGAGGAGAGCAACATCCGAGACTGCGGAATAGTAAATTGATCAAATAAGGTCTAGTGCATCTAATACTAGTTCCTAGTTCCAGCGCTGCAGTGTGCAGCTGCAGCCCCGGTTGGTGAAGGGGTGTAAACGCTTGTGGTGAACGAGGGACCACCGTCGGCGGCAGCGGGTTGTTTTGCTGTGGCGACTGCAGTTCTGCATACTGCAATTGCAATATTGGGGGTGAGCGAGCTAGTGTGTGAGACATTGAATTCTAGCTGAAGCGTAAAGATAGTGGAAACCGCTCTAGCAGCGGCGTTCCACTGGAAAAGGGCCACAGTGCGAGTGTGTAAACAAGATGCACATTAGTGCAGCGATGAGGCCCTTGATAAAAGTGCATAGTAAAACAGTGACCGTCAAATGCGAATTGCGCCACACGAGCGGCGTCGTGGTGGACGAGCTTTCCGACCGGGCTCTCGGTTGTTGACAGCTTTCTTGAACGTGCTACTAATCTAATGGCACACGACTGGCGGCGACGGATGTGATCGTAGTAGGCAACGACATTTCCACGTGCGTCTGTGTTAGTGCCAGGTCGGGAGAACCATAATGGCGGAAAATATTGTGTAATTTTCAGTTACGGTGGTGTTTTCTTGTTTGAAAATTGATGGAGATTATGTCCAAAATCGATCAAAATCTGTGTAAAAGTGGAAATATAGTGCGAAATTGGGTGAAAAGTGTAAAAATTACTTCCTTCTGTAAGAAATAAAGGGCCTAATTTAAACAAAATGCCTTGGGGTGAGGAAAGATCCTGTTGCTGAGGTGGCACCAAGTAAAAAAAAAACGATGCGTATGGCCTACTGCGAGGTGGTTTTCATGGCAATCCAAGTGCACAATAACAATAATTAAGTTCTAGCGTTCAGAATCATAAAAGCCTATCTATAATGATCGATTCTGTAACCAATTTTTGGGAAATTTTCCCATACAATGTAGTAACAGGTTGTATTAATTAGCAAAAACAACATCAAACGCACCGAGAAGTGTTAATCCAACCGAGCTATTAAGAAATCGATGAAGAGAATCGATCATTGCAGTTAAGCCCTTATGATTCTGAACGCCAGAGTTAATCTAAGAAAGCATATGTTTCATTTGTTCTAACTTCTTCCTCCTCTCACAGCTGGTATGAATAGATATTGCACTCAAGCATGTTATACAGAAAGTGATCCACACTAAAAAAGTGATATTTTTTTTTCCTCAATGTCCTGAGCAACGTAATCGAAGTGAAACTGGTGAAATTTTGAAACATACTGAAGAATTGTGTTAGTGCAACAAATTGCAGCGGCTTGTTGCTAACAAGCGTGAAAAATAATACAGGTGTATCACGGTGAAAAGTGAGCTGAGAAAAACGGAAGAAGAAAACAAAACAAAAAGTTCTGCAAGAAGAAAGTTTGGTGACGCAACTTTGGCTTCCTGTTCAAACAAAACCGGAGATTGACATGCATAAGTGTGTTTGCTGAAACTTGTGTTAGGTATATCTACCTATCTACATACCAACGGGGATTGGAGAGCAACAGATGCCGCCGACAACGACGACGACGACGACGACGGCGGAATGCAAACAGTTTATTTTATTATAGTGTAAGTGTTGATTCAGATATTTTTATGACGGTGCACATTATTCAACAATATAATCGTTTCCATGGTTTTGCCGTTGTGTAACTGCTAGGGTCAATGAGCACTGAAATGATGATGGTGCAAATTACTGCAGAACACGGGAATAAGCTTACGTATAGTTATTGTTGTGCACCAGAACCTGTTGAGTCTCGTGATTAGAGTTTTCATTAGGCTGATGCAAATTTTGAAATGTTTGCTCCAGTGTGCTCAAATGGTTTGAAATTGACTCCTGATCATCCTTTCAAAGTGTGAACTCATTTGGTTGAAAACTAATTTAGCACAAACCATATAGAGTGTTCATAATCAGAAGGGCCTACACACTAAAAAAATCTGAATTTTACTGGTGATGTAAACATCCATGCATGCAAACATTCGTGCATGTAAACTTCCTTTTCACGTAAACTAGCAGCTTGCAAGAAATTTTGCAAACAAAGGTGGAAAGTTGCATACAATATATGGAATATTGCATGACATGTCTCATAAATTTACACGATTTATAATGTAAATTTGTATGATTTATGACGCTCCATTTATGTGCATCATAGTAACGGAAATTTACACTACTTTTTTTTAGCTGTGTAACTACAGTTTAGGAAATTCGGAGAAAAACACGTTTGAAGATTTAGTTTGTAATTAAAATTGCGGTATTTTCATATGAAATACATTCAAGGTATGAAATTACTGTATCACAATAATTGTATTGTTATTTACCTAACTATATCTCTGGTTCGATAATATTGTGATAATTTTTAGATACAACTTCATTTGCCGTTTGTCAATTTTACACTACCATAAATAGAGTGATTTAATACTAAAGTGATTAGATACTAAATTGAAGTTAATCAGGTCATTAAATGAGCAACTGTATCAATTGGTATTTATTGTTAATTGAAACAATGTGTATAATTCAAAATAACAGTAATATTCACTGCTGTGTCATTCATAACATTCGAACAGTTCCACGCCAAAAGACGAATCGAACTGACTCGACCTTCTCCGATTTGCGTGAAACTTTGCGTATTAGTTTGTTATTATCATTTATTCTAAAATTCGGCCGTTTGATTCATACAATGGTGTATTTATCATTTTTCATTAAATCGTTGCACGAAAATATAGTTTATATTCGAAATGACGTCTGTAGGGAAAAATTAATTCTTTCTATGAAAAATATACACGGTAAATTTTGAGCCCAAACAATTTTTGAAAATTTAATTTAAAAAAAATCCTTGTTCAATATTTTGTTTTTAAGTAATCATATTTTCTGCAATTGTGATAAGAAGTGATGAAATCTAATGCAAATTGAATGTTGGCCTACACGCCATGCCAAAATATATAGCAAAAAATAAATTTTAATATTACATCCAAGAGAATGCATTTCAATCATGTCGAAAATCTCATGTTATTTTTATGGCCACAAAAATAAACAAATGCAGTAAAAGCAGCGTAATGTCAGTTCATGCACTGTATTAATGATAATTTTGTCCTTTTTGGCAAGTAATATTAACCATATTTTTGAAGTGCATCCATTTTGATGTGATATCAATATTATTTTTTGCTGTACAGTTAACACATTTGGGTTAATGAGGAGGTCGATAAATCCCAAAAAAAAAACTGCTTACGTAATTATGTCTCATCAAAGAGTTGTTACTAAGACACAATCCAATGACCATAGCAGTCGAAGAAAATTTTCTGAAATTTGGAAAAGTGTATCAATAATCCTATGGGGAGATTTTTTCGAACCCAGGACTGCTGGGGTGAGAGGTAATCATGCTTATCACTACACCACCGACGCCGCTCTATGGGGAGATGGTTTGGTACATATTTTCAAATAAATATGGCTTTCTTTCACAGCAATTGTTTATTATAAGTATTTTAACGTGAAAAAATAACGAAACTGAATCAACCCACCTAAGGTGAGATCTTAGGCTGGTAGCCAAAAACCTATAATTTAACACCAAATTGCACAATAATGAAAAATAAAGTCGATTGATAGTCATCATGAGTGTCAACGACCACATACCAGAGTGGTCCGGAAGGACGAATTTTGGAAAAAAAAATAAACAAATAAATAGTGCATGAAGAAGAGTCTAATCAATTTGGTGTCTTCAGAGAAGTTTTTAGTTGAAAGAAGGTGCATCTGATGATGGGGTTGCCCATAAATTTACTCATTGCAGTGTACGGAAAAGCATTCTCAAATCTCATTCATTAAGCCTCTCTGAGAGAATAACTCACATGTGAATCTGACAAAAAAAAAATCTCACGCTTGAGATTCTCATGCTTTTTCACGCACCAAAAAATTAATCCAGCTTAAAACTCATAAAAAGCGCTCAAACGTCAATTGATAGCAAGCTCAAGAATGTTTTGTTGGCTTTCCACCCACTGATGCAAAAATAACACTAATAACAATGAATAACGTCAAAATATAAAGCAATGAATGTTTTAAACTTAAAACTCATGGGTGATTTTTGTCACAAGGCAATAAACTGACGCATGAGATTTGAGTTTTTGAATTTTACCATCATTGCTCATTGGGACACCACTTGAAAATTCTAACTTTTTTGGCTGACGATTTCAGATATTGAAATGTCCTACAAAATAGTACAACTCATCATTTCCATAAACTTTTCTGAAAACACACATTTTCTAGCATATCATTTTCATTAAGATATAAAGCATTCTTTATGGAAGGCCCATTAAAAGCAATGTTGTGGCTTTAACTTTGTTGTTTGATTTTTCCAAGGCATACTATGATCAGGAAAGTTTATTTTTATTTTACAACAACACACAACTTTCTAGAAGACAGTTATCGAGGAATCCACAAATGATACATGCACACTTAGAAAAATTCATGTAAATTTAGGTGCTCTGAGACTGACATATACGAGCTTCAAATTTGACATAAAATTGTGTCATAATAGACGCGAAATTCAGCTCAATCAAACGTACTTTTCGTCGAGCAACGAACTTTTGAGTCTCGGAGCACTTAATTTTACATGAAATGTTTGTTTACGTTTCTTCCTTTATGTCAAAGATGGATTCCGTCACGTGTAAAATTAGGTATTTCTAAGTGTGTGGGGTAATTTCTTCAAAATATGAAGTTTTACATCAGTCAAATCTCAAAATGGGGCGAATATTTTCAAAAACCAATAGTAATTTCATTGTGTATGGAAAGCGCTTATGACCGTTGATGAAGTTACTGTCTCCGGGAAAGTTGTTGAGTGACTAAGGCATTCCGAATGCTAGATAATTTAGTCCTGAACTATATCTATGCGGTGCTAGTCTACATTAAACTGATGCAAATTTTGAAATTTTCGCTCCATGATGCTCAAACGGTCCCAAAATGGGTCCTGATTAGCTTCCCAAAACTTGAACTGATTAATGAAGAAACTGAATTGGCACACACATAATGAAGTTTATATGGAAATTACTATGGAAAAACAAAATTTTTAGTTCATATCTATCTTAAAATTCACCACATCACCAGTGTTGGCAAAAGCATCAATCAAATAATATTTTTCCACTCTCATACGCTCTCAATATGACACGTGATATTGTAACAAAATATCATGCTTGATATTGATTTTACAAGCTCCTTTGATATTGCGACAATTGGACGTGCAAAAATCAAGCTGAGAGCTGACTCGACACAAAAATGATTCCGTTGCACATCGTTTTATTAGAAAGAGAAAGTATAGTTTGCTATCTCTTTTTGTTCTTCACCGATGGCAGACACGAGAGACTGCGGCCAGCCGTTCGGGTGTAAAGCAAAAATCATTAAACTCAATCTCACCACAATTTGGTGAGATTTGCAGCTGGTGAGTTTGATAGCAGCATAGACCCAAGCAACGTAAACGGACTAACGATTGGAAACTCCGAACATGGAGCTGCAAGTCTCTCAATTTCTTGGGAAGTACCCGCATTCTTTCCGATTTATTGAGGGTCCGCAGGTTCGACATCGTAGCGCTGCAGGAGGTTTGCTTGAAGGGATCGTCGGTACATACGTATAGGGATGGTTATACCATCTACCAGAGCTGCGGCAATACACATGAGCTGGGTAGAGCTTTCATCGTGTTGGGTGAAATGCAGAACTGCGTGATTGGGTGTTGGCCAATCGATAGCAGAATGAGCAAGTTGAGGATCAAAGACCGTTTCTTCAATGTCAGCATAATCAACGTGCACAGCTCTCACTTAGCAAGTGACGATGACGATAAAGACGCTTTTTACGCGCAGCTGGAACGGGAATACGACAGCTGCCCAAGCCATGACGTCAAAATCGTCATCGGTGATCTTAACGCTCAGGTCGACCAGGAGGAAGAATTCAGACCGGTTATAGGAAAGTTCAGCGCTCACCAGCTAACGAACGCCAACGGCCTTATCAATTTCGCCGCTTCTAAGAACATGACCATGCGTAGCACCTACTTCCAGCATAGCCTCCCATATCGGTACACCTGGAGATCACCGCAGCAGACAGAATCGCAAATCGACCACGTTTTGATCGACGGAAGGCACTTCTCAGACATTATCGACGTCAGGACCTATCGTGGCGCAAATATCGATTCGGACCACTACCTTCTAATGGTCAAGGTACGCCAAAAACTTTCCGTTGCCAACAACATTCGGTACCGACGCCCGCCACGGTACAATCTGGAGCGAGTGAAGCTGCCCGAAGTCGCAACTGAGTACGTGCAATGCCTCGACGCAGCGTTGCCGGATGAGGGAGAGCTCACCGAAGCCCCTCTTGAGGACTGCTGGAGCAACGTGAAAGCTGCCATTAACAGCGCTGCTGAAGGTGCCGTTGGATTCGTGGAGCGGAATCGACGGAACGATTGGTTCGACGAAGAGTGTCAGACGGTTTTGGACGAGAAGAACGCAGCGTGGACGGCGATGCTGCAGCAAGGAACCCGTCATAATGTGGAGCGATATAAACAGAAGCGAAGGCAGCAAACCCATCTTTTCTGGGATAA